GTGTGTGTGTGTGTGTGTGTGTGTGTGTGTGTGTGTGTGTTGGTGTTGAGAAGGTGGAAGAGGAAAGGGAGGGGAAGTAAGCAAAAAGAAATGTAGATGGAAGGTGGAGGTGGTGGGGACCTGAACTGGGACCCAAAAGTGTAGATACTTTTCAGGCTTCCAGCAGAAGGAATGAAGCAAAGAGAAACGAAGAATCACAGTTTTTCCTGGAGTTTGGCGTGAGAGCCAGGGTTTTTTGAGATGCTCCAGAGTGAGAGTCTAATAAGACTTGTTCTTGGAAGGAGGCTTACTGTCTCTCCTAAATTTACATAGCTTGTTCTCCCCACCTATGTTATGGAGGACAAAGTGGATATTAAAACATTCTGTATCTAGATCTCCTCTCCTCATTTCCGAGGCACCACCCCATACTCTGTTTATGCTACTGCACTTGGCCCTATAAACTTGACCCATCTCCTGGGCCTTTTGGAAATGGAAATATGTCCTACTTCTAGTCTGTCTTGGCATCAGGGGCGTTGTTAACTCTGGAGGTCTGTGAGCAGGGAAGGGGCTGGTGTGCAGCGAGGAGGGATGAAGGAGATGTGCAGGGAGGGACACAGGAGACAAGCACAAGTTACTGCCCGGCGCCCTCAAGCGCCCAGAGACCCCTGTGTACGTAGAACAGATGAAAAGCGAGTTGGTTCACTTTTTCCCTTTAACTGTCTCGTTGTCTTGTAAACTTGCAACTCAAGGAGCCCTTACTTATTCAGCCGTTAAAAGAAGCCTGAATCTTTACAGCTGCTGTGAGGACCTATTGTTGCAGCAAAATGTGTTACAGCTCAGTTGTGACAGCAACCTGGATCCAAGGGAGAGACCAAGCAGCACTCGGAGGGTTGGAGAACTCAGGTTTATTACGCCAGCGGGCCCAGAGGAGTTAACACTCCAAGCTCTGGACCCTGTCTATAGGTTTACACAAGCTTTTATAGGCTAGCAGTCTAGACTTTGCAACATTTTGCAACATCATATGCAAATAAAGTATAAAAAATGGACCAATCAGGAGTGATAGAGATGAACCAATCAGGAGTGAGCTTAGGGAACCAATAGAATCTTAGGGAGAAGTTCAGCTTTCCTAGAAGTAAGCCAGTTTCAGAGTTAAAAAGTGAGATAATGCCGCTGGGCCAGGGCACTGGCAGGAGGATAGTGGCCCTGCCTGGGGGTCTTGCCGTCTTTTTCATGGGGCTTCCTACCTTACTGTTATATGGGAAAGTAAAGGATGTAAGTAGGGGGCTGAGTTACTGAAAATGTGGCCCCACAGAGGGGGCTGCTCTGTCCTTCCCTGAGTGCAGACACTGAAGTGGGCATATCTGGTGACATCATAGCCTTGCTCTGAACTAGAAGGAGAAGCATCTGTCAAAGGTACTGGTTGGGAGAAAACAACCACTATGTTGCTTTTCAGGACAATCGTCTGTCTCCAGAATTCATTTTCTCAGAGGCATGTGGCACTGGGGCAGAGCAGGGGTAGGCACTCATTTTCTGTAAAGGGCCAAATAGTAAATATTTTAACATTTTTGGATCATGTGGTCTCTGTCACAACTACTGTGTCGTTGAAGGTAAACAGAGTCACAGATAACATAAATTAATGGGTGTAGCTATGTTCAGTTACAACTTTACGTCCCAGGACTGAAATTTGAAATTTTTATTGTTTTTTGCATGTGATGAGATGATCTTTTGATTTTATTTTTTTTAAGCCATGTTAACATGTAAACATGCTTCTTAGCTTCTAGGCTGTACAGAAACACCAGGTGAAGTGGATTTGGCCCATGGGTTGTAGTTTGCCAACCCTTAAAGCATGACATGGAAGCAGAAGGGCACGTGTGCTTTTATAACAGCCCAGGTGGATGAGAACAGCTTTCATAGAGTGTGAGGCCTGAATGTTTTAATCTTTCCATTAACCTCACCAGACCTCTGTAGGAAGGCTGACTAGCGTAGTAACTAACCTTTGAGATAGAGAAAGGGTTTTAAGTTCATTGAGCTGGTTTTAGAACTGGGAGCTAATAATTACCAGAGTAGGCTTTTAGGTGCTTGACCTATGACTGAGACCCTGTGCACATTGCCAGGGTTGGGGTAAGCAGAGCTGTTTCCACATGTAGGAATAGAGATGTCAAGGCTCCTGGAATATTGTGTAACGCTCGACTGAAGCCCAGATTAGAATTATAGAGTTTAATTTTCTGTAGTTTAGCCACTGAAATCCACACGTTCCCTTGCTCAGATCTTGAAAGACCTAAATATGTATGCTGTTTTTAAAAAGCTTATGAAGATGTAACTGACAATGAACTGCACATATTTAAGGTGCACAATTTGAGAAGTTATATGTATATCCCTGAAACCATTACCACGGTCAAGACACTGAACATACCCATCACTCTAAAAGTTTTCCTCTCATCCCTCCCCTCTCTCCATTTCTCCTTCTCTTTCCATTTCCTAATCCTCTTTCCAGTCGCTGATCTACTTTTTGCCACCCTAGGGTAATTGGTATTTTGTTGAATTTTATGTAAATGGAATCTTAGAATATGTACTATCTTTTTGGTCTGGAGTTCATTCAGCATAGTTCTAGAGTCATCCATGTTACATGTATCAATAATTCATTCCTTCTTGTTGCTGAGGACGTTCCCTTGTGTGAACATATCACAATTTGTTCATTCATCCGTTGAAGGGCATTTTAACTATTTCCAGTTTCGGGACCTTACAGATAAATTTGCTGTTAACATTTGTGTATAGGTCTTTTTATGAACATACGCTATTGTAAAGACGTCAGAGTAGGATAGCTGGTCAACATGGACAGTATGTGTTTAACTTTGTGTGAAATTTCCAAACTGTTTTCCAAAGAGGTTATACCATTTTATATTCCGACCAGCAGTGTAGGTGGGTCTCGTTCCTCCACAAGCTCACCAACTAAATATGCTGGTCTTAAGAAGCATTTTTAATGGACATTTACATTATAAGCTCTCTTAAATAAAGAAAATCACATCCTCAGGGATTCCTTAATTTTTGTTTCCGAAGAGCACTAGTACCTGCATGTCCTTTCACTCCCAGAGCATCCTTGTAAAAGGAAGAATTAAAGGACCAATTTAGATGCATGGTTTAGGCAAAGTCAGATGGTTTGGCTGCTCGTCGGACCAGGGCTGTTACTTTCTTTCTTTTTGTTGTTGTTGTTGTTCTTCTTCTTCAAATATAAGCCCACTGGCTTCCAGTCCTTTCCTTTTTTACTTCCTTCAGTCGTTTTGCTTTTGCCATGTTGAGTTGTGAGGTCTGCATCTCAATCTGGGTGGAATTGGGGTGCAAGAGTCAGGCCGTTTCCTGCCACACCAGGAATGTCTCAGGAAGATTAAGATACTCCCAGAGATCCCCCCTTAGATAGTAGCTGTATTACAGCTTTTACTTGTCAGAGTGGCTTCCCTGCAATAAAATTATTGCTGTCTTTTTGCCCTGTCCTTGAGTTATGTTCCTCTGAGAAATGAAATGTTGCTGAAAATATGTGCATCTCAGTAGGAGTTTTAAACAATTTGAAAGAGCCGTGTTTTAACAGTGCCAATTCTGCATTTACTAGGCGGAGGTCTGTTACATGGAACCCACAGCTCTTCAGCTGTCCAAGTGAATCAGGGCCGCTATTGATTAATCGATAATAACCCAGCTGTGGTTCTTTGGTATGGTAGCCAGCATCTGATCCAGAGTTAATGTACTGAGAAGACGTCCCTTCTGGGACACTCTGTTTCCTGGTCTTTTGCTTCCGTTCCCAGTAAGGGTTCTCGCCATCACAGTCACTTAGATTTAGCTGCACACCCCCAGCTAGTCAAGTTGGAAACCCCTCTGCCCTCTCTAACTTTAGCAATCAGTTGGCTTACAAGAGGCACTGACACTCTAGTCGTTAGGGCCAGTCTCTTTGTTTGTTCTTTCCTGACTTGAGAATACTCCCCCTCAACTAGGTGAAGAACCCTGGAAACTTAGGGTTCCTTACTAGCTCTTTTCTGCCAGGATGCTGGGGATAGTGGCTGTTGTTCTACAGATTGAGTGATGGTACCGTAACGTGACTGGGGGTTTTCTTGAAGGGCATGGATAGAAAGAAAAATAAACAAGTAGGAAAAAGCATTTCTCAGATTGAGTTTTGAGAAATGTGTCAGAATTCCAGCTTTTTTCTTCCATGTAAATGGAGGCTGTGTTAGCCTTCATTTGCTTTCTGCATACATGTTGAACCTTCTGCAAGGTTGTGGTGGTTTAGAGTAATCATTCTCAAAGTGTGGTACATGGACCAGCAGTCTTGGCATGATGAACTACTGGGTTAGATGAATTTCTATGTTTAAATTTTTTTCCAGAGTTGGAGGTTATTGATTCCTTTTTCTGCATTTGAATTTGTAATGAATTCAAGCTACCTTGAAAGATATCATTTGCTAATCAACTGAATTATTCATCTTTTTCCATCTTTTCTAGAGTTACTTTGTAGCTAGAGTTTATTTATACATTTGGTTCAGTTGAGGCTTGACTTACCTAGAAATATCTGAGCAAAATACTGCATTCTGTGATACCCAGTACAGTGTCCCTACTACGAAACAGCCTTACTTTTCTTCTGATGATTAATGTCTCCTGGGAGTTGGAATAAAGGGAAAAATAAGAGCCATGTGCTCTCCCCTCAAATTTAAGCTGGTCCCTAGAGGTGAACAAGTGGCTTCACAGCTATCTTTGCAGATGACATTTGAAGCATATTAAGAGCAACATGCTTTCCAACTAATTTTGTTTTCCTTCAGTAAATAATAATGAGTTTATTAAATGGCTTGGAGGAGGGAGTGGAATCCATTACCTGGCAACTTTTTATCTTTTCACAGGCTGTCTTCTAACTTTCAGTAGACTTACGGAATTAGATGTCAGGGCTGAGTGATTTTGAAGGACAGTCTTGATCTCTGAATAATAGTTGGGTAAATGAGAAAGATGGCGATGTTCATTTTTTGACTGTTTCACTTGGGATTTATCTGTAACAATGGGGCACCTCACAAATGACTGAGAATGGAAAATAAATGCCTTTTTCTATAATGGAGTCACTTTTATGGTTCGTTGAGGGGTGGAGGAGTGCCTTTCTCTCTCTAAAAGAATTTACTTGGCTTCGGTTATTAAGAGAATATTTAACAAGAATGGGGTTTTTAGTCTTGGTTTGTGCGATTGTAAATCATAAAAATGTGGGTGGTTTTAAGATAAAACACCTTTTAACTTTTTTACTCCAAGTGCGTGATACATCCTGCAAGTTAAATAGATCACTTAAAGATCTTTTGGTATAAAAATTCTAATGGAAAGCAAAAAGCTTAATTATGTGGTCAAACAGAGTAGTACTGTCTCTTAATTTACTGTCAAATTACTTCAAAAGTTTTAATTAGCATAATTAAGTAGCATAAGTGATAAGATATATTACTTGATATGTTTTTATATGTATTCTCTCCTTGAGTCACTGCATTTAACAGGAGCCCTTCAATTTAATTACCACTTGTGACTTTGTCCAGGGGTGAGGCAAAAAGCATAAAAATGTAGATTAGGGCCGCCACGAACGAAATTGTTTCCCACCTCACCTGAGTTGTCAGTGCTCTTAAGTGGTTCCTTCTGTTGGCTTGCAGGTATTTTGACTGCCACCCACAGCAGGAATATTTTACAGCACTATTCAGGATACACATAAACATATGTTATATTAACTTATTATATACAATGATTGTCTTTACTGTATGTGTTGTACTCTGGTTTTTTGTTCTCTCTCTCTTTTTTTTTTAAATAATCATTTCGGGATGCTTTGCCATCAACTCACTGAAAAACACTGACTTGGACAACTCCCTGCCACTCACCACAGTGGTTATTTGCTCTCTTTTCTGCTCTCTTATCTGATCACTTCTCTCCATTTTAGTGAACACCTTGGCCTCCTGCTTTACAGAGAGAGCCATTGAGTTGTGACTTCCTCAGCTTGTCACCAGCCTGCAAGTGTCTTGTGCTGGTACCATCCATTCATCTGTCCTCTCTGCCTCCCTTCACAGAAGAAGTTTCCTTTCTCCACATGTGCTCTCGATATCACTCTTTGAACTCTGGCTCCACACACCATGCTGAGCTCAGTTGACGGATGTCATGCCTGGCGGGCATGCCAGGTGCCCATAAACCTTAAAATTGAACATGCTCAGCCCCACAAATCCCCAACTGCCTATGTATCTTGATACCATGAGCTTCTGGTCCTCTCCTCCAACAGGGTGGAAGGGATGAGGCAGAGAGAGGTGAGCCTGTGACAAGCACTGGAGCCACCAGATACAGGAGGAGGGGTGATGGAACATGGTAACCTCCTTCTAGGCTTCACCTCCTGCTGCATAGATATGTGAATAGAAATTAGTCACCTTGGAGAAATTGAGGGAGTTTATAAATCTGGCTTTCAAAATGGTTTGTTTTTGCTTGACTAGCATTTTCTGCAAATAAGCAAAAAGCTGGTATGGTGTTGAAATATACCCAAAATTGGTGTTATTTCAGGGTTGAGGGCCACAGTGACTTTTATCACACTTGAGGCTACCCTAAGTGTCTGTGTCAGGTTGGAAGAGTGAGTGGCAGTGTTCACAGGAGTTGTACAGCTCTTAAACTACGTGACTGCCTGCTGGAATGCACATGGAGGAAGATCTCAAACCTATGCTCCCCTAAGTTCTTATTCTACCTAAATGCGCAGGTAGACAGCTTCACTGAACCTGAAACCCAAGTTCCTTGACTATGTCATGTTATGCCTTGCCTCTAGACCTTTACACATGCTGTTCCCTCTGTTAGGGGAACCCATCCCAACTATACCTTATTTTTCCCAGGACTTGTTCCCTAACCACCCTCTAAGTCCCTGTTGTGTATTTCCACAGTACTCTCTAATTTCCCCTCCCCAGGACTCGGTTGTAATAGCTTGGTGACTCCTCCCTGTCTGAACCCTTACTTTACCCCCTGACCTTAGTAGACGTAAGCCCTTTGAGGGCAGGTATTGTCTTACTTTCTGGAATATCCACACCACCTGGCACAGCATCTGACATAGTAGATGCTTGTGTAATATTATTAAATGACTGAAATAAGCAGTGCTGGGTTAAGGAGTGGCATTGATTCGGTCAGTGTGGTAGTATCGCCTGCCTCTTACATGAGGAATAATTGCACTAAAGAGAATAGGGTTGGCCCAGCTAAAGAACATGCTGGTTTCTTTTGAGTTAGAACCTTCCATTTGGATTCAATTTACTTGGGGTGTGGTGCATTCCCAGAACAACAGACACACCCAACTTAAAATATAAACCCATTCAAGGCAAATATTATTTTGGCTTATCTGTGCCATTATTCAGTGAATAATGAAGAGTTTACTGGTGAATAAAATGTTGATGTAGCTGAATCAGACAGTTTGGGCACTCTTGAATTTGAGAATTGACTATGTTTTGAACTATTACTACACTGATCTAAATTACTTACTTTACTATGTTTGTGTAACACAATCACATACTCTGACAATACTCTTTGTGTGTGTAACCTCTCTGCCCCATTTTACTGGGGCCCAGGAGGACA